GGCACAGAATGATGACTACCAACCTCACTGTCTAATTTCTGACTCTCCTTTTCATACTCATCCAATTGCATTTTAAGCTGATTTATTTCCTGTGCACATTTATCTGTCAAAGCTTTCATTTCTTTTTCATGATCAGCCTGACGAGTTTTATGCTCAGCAAGTAAATCTTGGTATTTCCCATTTTGAATGCCCAGATCGTCACTGTACGTGTCCAATTTGGCATTCAGTGACTTGTTTTCATCACACACCATAAGAAGTGCTGTCATAAAGAAAGGCCAAGAGTGTATTATGTACGCCATTTTCCTTTCTATGTTCTTGGTGTGTTTAGCTTCCCATTCTATGCTTTTCAACCAAACCTCATAGGTTGCATCATTTTTCATATGTTTATGAATATGAACTAGAGCATGTTTTCTTAGGTCTTCAATTATTTCAGTATTATCTGATTCAGCCATATTTCTATATACTGATTTAATCTCAATATAAAACTCTTTTCTATATCAGGATTAAATTGCACGAATTACACCAATATTATTGTATATGAAATATAATTTCAACTTAAACGATCTCAGCACCGTGCCTCCAATATGTGGGGATATTTATGGGATAATAATAGTAACAGTGAGAATTGCCCACTAATTCAATTCTCAGACCCAAAGATCGTTATCGTAAGTGAGAAGTATTTCATATAAATAATATCACAATTTTGTTATAAAAATAGATTTTTATTTTATAATAACAAATTAATTAATAATAATAATAATAATATGTAACATGCGTGACAATAATCACTGAATATCCAGTATAAAATGATATGCAATACACAGGAATGGCTATACATGTTTCAATGGCTAAACAGCATTTTCTGTCAAGTCTTACACGATTTATGAGGTATCCTTACAGACTGAAAGGAAAACTTTTCACAGCGAAGGGCCATAAAACCCTGGCTACAGTTAGAATAACCCTTTCAATGCTGGCTAGATCTCCTAGGTAATTAAGATCTATTCTTATGTAATTTTAAATAAAATAACATTTAAACCAGTTCATTAGTCATTTCCTGGAACCATCCAATAAGAGAATCTACCATATTATATAAGCAGATTTTAATTTGCCTAAAAACATATCTTATCCTAATTTAGAGCAAATCAATACACCTGGATAAAAAAAGCGGTATGCTAATACGTGATAATATCACATCAATATATAATTATTCTTAATTCCACCTGCAGAATGGAATGTTTATAACTATATATTCTTTAGTTGACTAAGATTTCTTAATATGGAAATCTGACCGTGCTTTATCCAGTCATATATAATGCTATTAGTACATTTTAATTAATTTAAATTAATTAAATGAAACCAGTATAATTACCAGTTGAGTAGATATTTCATCCGATTGGTAGATAGTCTCAGGAACTTATTTGGATGTCTCTCTGCATGGAGGTGTGTAGGTAATAGTGTCCTAGAGTGTCATTGCTCCCGACTGCTCACTTCTTTGCTTTCTTTGCATACCCTCTTCTCCCTTTGTCCTAACTTTTAAAGGGCCAGACTCTCTGTACGTCATCAGTTGATAACCCAATAGAAGCACTAGAGGTGTGGTTATCTTCCAGATCGCAATTTAGTTATTTGGTCTACAGAGGGCAGTCTTGTCCCACTAAACATACCTATCCAGGAAAGAGTTAACTTTTCTTGGTGGCTATTTTGACGTCATTTTGGCCTATCTTTATAGTGCCATAACTTACATTTTTGCTGTCAGATCAAACAGCTTCTTTAAGTTTTGTCCAGACTTAGTGTCTGCAATTCCTGCTATAATTTCTAAAATGGCAGATCATGAACTAAGTTTAACCTTAAACTTACAATGGTACCTTACATATATAGACAGTAAAATTTTATTATTTAATCTTCTCTGTCACAATTGTCTGGGTTTAGAATTGATTATATTCCATTAGCATTTTAGACAGTCTATCCAACCCCCGTTCTCCTTATAACTTGGTTTGTATATACTATGCATTGCTTTAGCTCTGGGAAAGTGGTTAGTTTTACAGATAGAAATCTTGTGTCCACAATACCTGACAGCAGAGGCAGATGGGACGGTCCAGACGGAACAGACGGACGACAATACGGAAGCTGAACCACCGACCCAACCAAACCAAGACGACCACTCAGAGCCGGAGATGCCCCTTGCCCCGGAGGCGGGGGGGGGTTGAGGTGGGGACCCGGGACCTGACACCCCACCCCCTACCCTCCCGCACCTTACCCTCACCTGCAATGCCCTCACCCCATTAACCTACACTCCCATCCCACCCGCCCCCCACAACACACGTTAAAATACATGACCAACTGCCGACAGGCTGCCTTGAGAATGCCACCTACACTCGCAGAAACGCCACCTCCCTTACAGGACAGACCATACACCACAGCACCCACAAAGACCCACCATGACCAACACATATCGGACAGGGGATGAACCAACCCAACAAGACTGTCCAAACGCCCAACACTCAAGTGCACTACACCACGATACCAGAACCCACCCAACCCTCACAACCCGGGACAGCACCCGCTCGACCAATACACCCCCGACACTAATAGGATCCCCAAACAGACACAGAAAGACACCAACACAGAAGGGACACCCCAACAAGACTACACCCCGACGCATGACACACACACAGCCACCACCCACACACATCAAAGAACAGCGACTAGCGCAAAGGGGACACCCACAACAAACGCGCACACAGGACAAAAACTACCTGACGGACCCTCGACCCCCAAACGCCCCACTACTCGACAACCACTCCCTACCCCCCACCCCAACGGATCAGTAGAGATGCTCTCAGGAAGCAGGGCTAGACAAGGTCACAGCAAGAGCACTAAAGTTTCTGCCTTATCGCAGTTTATCTGCTTCCCAACACAAACATACCAATTAATAAAATGACTGAATCTGAGTGTTCTCTATAGCTTTCATGTCTAAAACTTGAGAGAATGGCGAAAATATTCTCTTTCTATTTTTCTAAGACTAGTTCCTTCTTGAAAACTGTCAATGCTGAAAGATGTTGCAATGTAGGAATGGAATCAGATGCTCGCTATTGCTTTGTAAAATTGCTCTCTTCACATAAATACTAAAGATACCTTTATACCAAATGAACAATAACTGATATGTACACAATTTTTGCCACCTTCTGTATTGATGCATATAACTTTGTATTGCCAATTGTTATGATGTCAATAAAAGCAAATTGAATGAAAAAAAAAAAAAAAAAAAAAGA